ATACAGATTGTTTACAACATACAAACAGACTATTTAAAACATATTCCTGTACATATAAATAATTTATCTAAAACAGATTTATTTGTCAGCAAGCAGTCCATATCAACAGTTGTTAAAAAATTCCTGAAGAGAATAAAAGACGTTACACAACAAATAAATTTCTTGCTAGTGATGCGCCTATTCTCACGAATAAGTGCATCTGCACGATCAATGTTTGGTTTGGTGACGGATGTTCACGGCCGACGATCACGCGGTTCATTCTCCACACGCTCTCTGCCCTCTCTGAAGCACTTACACCAGTCAAACACACGGGTCTGTGAGAGACACTCTTCCCCATACTGTTGTTGGAGTCTGTGGTGAACTCCGTGGTACCTTCTGTTCATTCATCACTCTAGCAACTTACAGACAGGACTGAACAGGTTCTAACCCTAACAGGAAGGAGGGTGGAGGTTGTGGCTTCACTCTCTCAAGGTCTCACAGCTGCTGTGCAGTGCGGCTTGTTTACAAAAAAATCAGTCCCGGTCATATTTGAACCACCTAGTATGTAAGTAACAGTTAAAATCTTTAATTCACGAAACAAATTTCTACAGGAAACTCTATTTTTAACACCTTTTATCACCCTTACACATGTCTTCTGCAGTTTAAATAGAGTTTCAGAGTCCTTTTGCACCCTACCCCAAAAAATAATACCGTATTTCAACACGGACTCAAATTTAGCAAGATACACACAGGGTCATTCTAGTGGGCTCCTGCCTAATTCATGAATTTTATTCCCATTTCCGTATACAAATTATAGTTGTAAGATTTGAGGTTTTCACATCATAGAGAATGCTGTCTTCTGGGATGTGGCATTCTTCAAATTACAGTTGTTTGCTGGTTCAGTGCCACCCTTGACCCATCTGACCTTCTGTACTCTCACTAAATCTAACTCTATTATATTTTTCATTTTGCAACTGTTGTGAGTGAGAGAGTGTCCTATCTCATGTCCATTTTCCTTTGCTTAGATCCTTCCAGAGAAACCATCCAAGTCTGAGGCCCTGTGTAACATTTTGTAACAGGCTGATTTTTTAAGGTGAGGAGTTATCAGCCCCAAGCTCAAGGACCACCCCTCATTGGCTGTCTGTCACTGTTTATGCAATGTATTCTCAGCTACCTTTTATATGTGGGGGACATTTCCTCCCTTCACAACTTTAAGACATGCTGTTTTGTGGTGACAAGAAACCCACTTGACATGGTCCAGATATTGTATACAGATCTGCTTGCTTCATACTGGTTTCTTGCTTGGCTTGTTCTTTGACCCAGATAGAGGTGACATGTTCCTCTGAAACGTCAGTTGACCTTCAGTGGACTACATGTCATATCCCAGAAGACAGAACTCTTTGTACAAATTCAGTTCTATCTGTCCTGTTAGTTTAACCACTTGGCAGAGTAATCAGTTTTGTATGCTAAAATTACTTGTGTATATTGAATTAAAATTTAATTTGTTCCATTCTGGTCCGTCACACTAACAATTACAAATATAAATCACTCCGTCCAGTGTGACCTGTAAGTTTATTACTACATGAAAACTTAACACCCTTACATGTTTCGGTCTCTGCGGACCATCTTCAGAGGGCAAACATCACTACAAATAGGAAACCACCATCACATAAGTTGTTTAGACGAAAAGTACGTACACCTATATGCTACAATGCATAGTACAATGCATATTTTGTGTATTATGCATTGTAGCATATAAGTGTACGTACTTTATGTCTAAACAACTTATGTGATGGTGGTTTCATATTTGTAGTGATCTTTGCCCTCTGGAGATGGTCCGCAGAGACCGAAACATGTAAGGGTGTTAAGTTTTCATGTAGTAATAAACTTACAGGTCACATTGGACGGAGTGATTTATATTTGAATTAAAATATTTCAAAATGAATTCCTCAAATCCATCACAAAACTTTGTACATATAATATATCTGTTGACCAACAAGAAAACTGTGTGTATGGTTACCTGGTGTCTTTTTCACAACCATAAATTAGCTAATGCCATCCAAACAAGAAAACAAGCACATAAAAAATACTTCTGCTATGATGACAAGATGAAGCCATAGTGCAGGGAGGATGCAAACCCTGTGCCCTGATTGCTTTTTGGCATTTGGTCAAGTCGTGTATCGCTTGGACAGATTTCTCAGTTGTTCTCATGATTATATGGAAAAATGGAGTATTTGTCCATTATTCTTTTGGATGCCTGTGTCTTAGTAATAAATGTGAAAATACCATACCTTGGACATTACATTTGCGTATTGAATGGCCTTAATATTTGTACATATATTTGGTTAATGGTTACTGTTGTAATTTTACATTCCATTCTTTTACTTTGCATTATGTTACGAAAATGAACTCAAAGCCTCGGTGATGAACCTTCGGGTTCCATAAAATGCTGGGAAATTCTTTTACTTTGGGCCTAATGGGTGCAGAATTTGCACCACTTACTGTATGGTATAAGTTTGTAGAGTGCCAGAGGAGGAGAATCCCATATTATATCCATTAGAATATCCAAACCCTCTTGAAGTCAGACTCTGTAACATGTGGAAGAGCTAGTTCATGTCAGAGAGTTATATGACTTTGTTCACAGTTCTAGAAGAGGTGGAAGAGAGAAAGAAGGACAAAATATTAGCAGAGAAGGTGAAAATGGAAATGGACCAGAAGATAGAAGATGTATCAGCCAAGATAATTGCATTACAACAGAAGAATACGGCATTGGAAAATACAATTATACAGAAAACTGCCAAGAGGCAGAATTTAGTGTCCAAAATGATGCAGGTATTTAATAGCTGTAGGCATGTATAATGTTTGAAAATGTCATGACTGTTGACAAAGGTATAAATGAGAGATTAATATTAAAATGAATTTTAATAAATAAGGTGCAAGGTTGTAGACTTGAATCATCTGATTCAGGATGGGGTCAGTTGGTGCACTGCTGAGAGCATGGAAGTTAACTTTTTGGTTTAATGAATGTTATGGAGTTTCATGACCAGTAGAGTGACTGTTGGCCCATGAAGATGGACTGTATTCCACAGAATTAATTGCTTCAGGGTTTTCTGAGAATCATGTGGACTTACATGGTTCTCATTTTCATTCACCATGTAAAAGAATCATCATTCTTAAAAGTGAGTGAACTGGAGTCTCTCTCATCTTGGAATAAAATAAGTCTGAAATTTACATATGCCTGATGAAGCATTTGGTGATGTATATCAGGTGAGTAGGATTGTTAGCACTTGTATTTCAAAGCAGAATAATTTATAAAGGTCATCTGTTAAAAATATTAACATCTTGTGAGAAAATCAGAGACAAAGGACTTAACAAAACATTAAGAAAAAAATTTGGTTAAGATCAGACATATGGCTCTGTATTAAATGCAGGGATTGGCCAGGGCTGCTTATATAGTGAATGAAGGCAGTTGTCCACTAATGTTAACCAAAAGTCAAGTAATGCCCACCTCAGTTTAAATGTATTTTTATGATTGGTTGTTAGGTCATCTTATGCAAATCAGAGAAACTAGTTTCTTTATTGACATGCTAGTCTGTTTACCTGTTATAATTTTTAACCTATAAGAGCCCTTTATAAGGTTATGATGAAGTTATATTTATTCATTGAAGCTTGTTCAGAATGTGTGAATTTTGGCATTATCAGAAAATTAGGACTGCCACCGGATTATAAAAATTCAAAGAAAGTAAAGTAAATTTGTGTTCTTGACAGTCATCTGTTTTTGTATAATTTATAACATTTGATTTTAATGTATGTAGGTAGGCTGAAAAGTAATGCACACATGCTTGTAGAGCGCGAACGAAATGACCTTCAGAAGCGCGCCAGGTGGCATGTGGAAGTAACATTCCCCCTCAATACGCATGCGCAGGTTTGAGGTCGTTGCATTCATCCAGTGTATTTTGAGAAGCAGAAGTATGGAGACGTGTTCTAGTGCTTTGTCAACGCGAGTTAAACAGTGTGCTGTTATCGAATTTTTAACTGCTGAAAAAGTGACTCCTACTGAGATTCATCGTCACTTAAAGGCTGTGTATGGTGACACTGCTGTTGATAGGTCTACTGTAAATCGATGGGTAATAAAATTTCGTGGTTGTGAGCCTGGAAAAGCCATAATTGTTGATGAAACATGCAGCGGACGTCCTATCACTGCCACAGACGATAATAATCGCAAACTCGTCGACGATTTGATTCAAAATGACCGGCGAATCACTCAAAAGCGTATCGCAAACCATATTGGAATATCCAAGGAAAGTGTCGGCTTCATTATTGAACATTTGGGATACCGTAAAATCTGTGCACGATGGGTACCACGCCGTCTCACAGACGAGAACAAACAGTGTTGATTGGAATGCTGCAAGCAACTTTTGCAGTGCTACCGTGATGAAGGAGACGATTTTCTTTTGAATATTGTGATGGGGGACGAGTCATGGGTCCATCGTTACGACCCGGAAGAGAAAAGACAGAGCGCTGAATATCGACATCCGTCTTCTCCTCAGGCGAAAAAGTTCAAAACACAACCATCCGCCAAAAAACTTCTTTTGACTGTGTTTTTGGATGCTCACCGAGTTTATGTGACCGATTTTCTAGAACGAGGGGCAACGGTAAATTCTTCTCAGTACATACAGACTCTAAAACACCTCCGGCATCGAGTTTGTCATGTTAGAGGCAGCCTGGCACCAATAATCTTGCAACATGACAACGCTCGTCCACACACCTCGTGCGCAACTGAAGAGGCACTGCGAAACCTGAAGTTTGAACCGATTCCACACCCTCCTTATTCCCCCGATCTTGCGCCTTGCGATTTTTATTTTTTTCCTCTACTCATGAGAGACCTCAAGGGTAATCATTACACCCCGAACGATGAGGTGAAGGCAGCTGTCAAGTCCTGGATTCGAGAAAAGTCGGAAGAATTTTTCAGTGATGGAATGAAAAAACTTGTTACATGTTGGGAGAAATGTGTTAGCCTTAACAGTGACTACGTAGAAAAATAAATATATGCTTTTGAAACTTAAGAATTGTACTTTAATGTGCTTTGTGCCAGATCTTGCTATTTGTTTTTGTTCGCGCTCTACAAGCATGTGTGCATCACTTTTCAGCCTACCCACGTAGAAAACATTTATCTTAGTCTACAAAACAAGAATTTCTGGTCACTGTGAATAAAGCACTAGCAAAAACATGCATGTTTTGGTTTAGAGATTCTGTGTGGAACTGAAAGGTATTGTGGCATATAGACCCATTGCTAGACAAAGACCTCGAAACAGACAAGACAACAGCTGTTCCTATGGAACAGCATAGTAAACGCTACTAAACTCTGTTATGCAGCCCGTTGCTAGGCAGCTGTAACAGTTAGACTGCAGCAGTGGAATTGGGGTTGTTTTGTATGTGGTCCATGCTGATTAGTTATCTTGAAGACAACTGGGGTGACCCAGTTAGGTGGGAGTAGTCAGTTGAAAGTCAGCCTGTGAAGAGAAGATTAGGAGGTGGGTGTGAAAGGGCCGCCAACCTAGTAATTAGTTGTCAGTCAGTTCAGTTGAGTTCTGCATGGGAGGCCATGACGATAGATCCTGAGCTTATGAAGCTGAAGAATCTGCGCTGTTACAAGCCATTGCCAGGGGATGACCAATGAAGACAGCAGGCTGGAAAAGGCTGTGATGATTTGTAAAGTGTGGAGATTAGTGATAGCTCTGTAATTACTTGTAGTTCCAAGTGGTGTGAATAAGTGGTCAATAAAGCCATTCACCAATCCATATTTAACCTGTACTTATATTTAGATTGCCTAAATTTAATAGGATCAGAGTAGTTCTTCATATTTAGAGGACACTGGGTCTTGGCTCAGAGGCTAGCAATTCTGTCTGAAGATTTTCAATATGTTTCCCCTTTTATTCCAGTCACATTTTGAGATAATGCCATAAAACATGCCTTGACCATTTCTTTCAAGACCTTCTGCAGTCATTATTTATAATCCTGTCATTTGCACAATAGGTTGGACTCATAAATTGGTATCCCAAATATATTGCATCCATAGAAAACAGGAAGGAACACTTATACCAACATGAACCATCTTTCTAATTTTCAAAACTCTGACACTGCCCGAATGGGTGAAGATACTCTACACATGATACAATGTTAGGCCTTTCCTGCCAGATCCAATTCATTGCTTGTGCTGAAAGTTTGGATATGCAGAGACTTGATGTACTTCTCATGTAATTTGTTCAGAGTCCATGTTACATATGAAATGGCCATCTTGTAGTGCACTCAATTTCATATGTCGCTTCTTACTACATGTTTCGGCAACATAGTGCCATCTTCAGGTTCGTTATTTACGCTAAGCTATTACATTGTTTGCCATCTTGTGTCTTTCATAAAATTATTTAGAAAGTACATTATTCATCAACTATAATAAAATTTGTATATACTAAAACTTGTTAAGATTATTCATCTATATGTCTAAATTCAAACTCGCGTATAGTATGGTTCGTCCACTATGGGAGTCGTTTCTGTGTGTACTGTGTCTGTGATGTGTCCTTCCTTTTTGGCTGCGAGCGTTGTTCAGAGTGTTTAATAAAGGGGTGTCATTTGCCCACAGCTGATCCAAAGAATCAAGTGTTCCTAAACCTTCATAACTAGCTCACCACATTGTCCATAATTTCTACAAGAGAAGGAAATCCAGAAAATCTCCGTTGAAGATTATCTGCTACCCCAGGGGCCATGAACTGCAGCCTGTCCTGTGCTCTGTATAGCATGCATTTCATTCTGTGTGAGTAGGTTCTGTTTTGCCTCCCTGAACTTGACATCATGTGGTGGAGGCACTCTCCTGTCACCATCTGTCTGCTGGAAAACACCTTCTTCCTGTGGATACTGCTACTCCCAGAGGCTGTGCCTCTACAAGTATGACCACCTTGGTGGTGAAAAGGCAAATGGAACTGCCATCTTTGTCCAAAAGAGTGTGTACTCTTGTCATGTTCAGCTTCGAAGTAATAAGCTGACCTCTTCACTGTCCTGCTTTACAGGTTCCACTGCAGTATGGGAATATTTACAGAACTTGACAGTCCAGTGTGTTCAGACTTGTATTCCAGGCCTTTCTATGAATGGTGTCCTAGCAGATTCACACAACAAGATGGCTGGCACATTATTGTGTCAGACAATGCTGCTGCCATATTTCCAATTAAAGGACGTGAAAAAAATTCAGCACCTTACTTTCACCACAAGAGTTGCAGAATCATACAGTTCATCTTTGCCTATGGATAAACTTCTGAGTGCCCTAACTCAGTGTTTCTCAACTGCCAGGCCGTGGCCCGGTACCAGGCCTTGGCATCAATTACACCGGGCCCTCGTCTTACAGAAGAAACAATTTACCAGACCATGGACTGACAGAGGTTAAGAACCACTGCTATAACCTGCATGTGTGATACATCTCTTTGGCCTACACCGTTCACCACCAGATACTTCAAAACTGTCTGCCATTCACCTTGTTGCTTCTGAACATGTACAATTAGATTTTGGTTTAGTGTTCCTTCCCACCTGTATCAGGAAAGACAGTTATAGTCCCTGTTCAAAAGCAGACAAAGACCACTCTGTGTCTGCTAGCTGCCATCCAATATGTCTGATCAGCTCTGTCTGTAAACTCTTAGAATGGTCAGCTCACAGCTAATCAGGCTATACATACTGGAACCACAGCTGTGAAGTTGGTGGTTTAAGTTGACAATGGAACAAAACCATTCCTGGCCACTAGCATATAATAAGGTGCCAGAAGTTGAGACCACAAATTAATATGCTGC